GGGTCACTCGATCCGTGATATTTTGATATTTCGGGTAGATTTGTTCCAACTGGTAACTGATATTCTTGCATTCTTTAATGAGAGTGAGCTAATTGACCTTATTACACAATAGTGATTGCCATTTCTATTTCTTTCTGTAGGTACTGTGTTATTTGTTGTCGGTGACGTACCCTAGTCCCTTAACTATGATTGATCATTTAGTCCAACCCCCTAATCCCAAGTATGTGAGCCCGAGTATTCCCATTTTGATTAGTTTTCCCATCTTTAATGGCGAAATTCATGTTTTTAGTAATGCTCGTCTTGAATTCCCTGAATGTATGACTAGTGATTATTACGCTGAATCCAGCTCAGTGCCATCTGACACTGGTGACTTTAATTTTTTTCGTCAGGGCATCATGTCACTGGTATCTCATCTTGTAGCATTGATAGTACTTCTTTTGTTTATATAATAAAACTGAGAGTTTTTCAAGAAAAAGAATGTGTTTCAAATACTTTAATTAAAGACTTAGCCTAAATCTCATCAGCATCTTTTTGAAAAGAAAAATAATTTTGGTATTAGGAAGTGTTATATATGTGGTGATCCTTTTCATAAAGTGATTTAGTGTACTTTGGAGGAAGGTTCAAAAAGAGGTGATAATATTCTAATCAGAAATAAAAATGGATAAAAAAGGATAACTCTTTAAATTGTCTCCCTGCTGACAACTATGAAAACTTTAACACTGCAAGATCTACCAATTGCAAAATGGGATCATAAAGTGGTCTAATTGTTTCTATGTATTGTAGGGTTAAGAGAATTTCCTGTATTTTGATAGTGGATACTTTACTCATATGACAGGATTCAAGTCTCTCCTGAAATATTAAGTTAAGGAAGATGGCACTACAATCACCCACGAAGACAATGGAAAGGCCCTAATTGTCGATGGAAGGATGGATTAAGTTGTGCATGACTCTGCTTCATGTCAACTCACTGATAATTTTTCTTTCTTTCTTAATAAACATAATTTAGTGATTTACTGGTGAAATGGGCATTCGGTAAATGCTATAAGGTTTTCTTCTATTAGGCTACATCGTTCTTTATGTGTGTTTTTAAAGACTATTTTTCATGCTTTCATAATTTTTGGTTTCCATGTCTATATATATATATATATATATATATATATATATATATATATATATATATATATATATGTTATCGTTCTTTTCAACAAGCCTTCTTAATCACCACCCATTTTTATACCTCGTCTCAACAACATCTCCTTCTCTTAAGTTAATCATTACTTTTGGGGGCATGGCCTAAGCTGATCAAGATGTGACATATGCTTCAAAATCACCCCATTCATGTTCATAAGGTTATCAAATGTAACCACATATCTATCTTTTTTATTTTTTTTTCACCACTCCTAAATAATAAGATCCTTTGTAGCCCTGTTCGTGCATCACCAACTCTACCTTGTCTCCAACTTGAAACACCATTCCTATCATAAAAGATATATTGTTGCAATCTTTTTAGAACCTTAATGTATCATTTTATAGTAAAAGGGATTTGAATTGTTTTTATTTTTACAAGACAATATTTATTACTCTGAAAGTGTGTTATAGGAACATCATGTCATAAGTGACTTCACTTTTGCATGCAAATTATCTCAGACAATATATATTATGTAATTATTACGATTTGATGGTAATCTTATCGAGATTAAGACTCTAACTTCTTTCATCATCACTGTCCATGGAAGCATTATTTCAATTGTGACTAAATCTCTCTAAGTATTACATCAGTGAGACCATCCGATGAGATTACATTGAGTCACTCACTCACGATGATTGTTTAAGCAGTGTTTGAACATTCAATGTAAGATGTCTTGGTCCATATTAAAAGAAAATTTTTATAAGGCATGAGTGTTCTACATTTGATTCTCTGTTTTAGTATAGACCTTGTCCCTAGAAGCATGTTTGTCGTATGTATCAAGTATTATATTTTGTTGAAATATCAAGCATAAAACTATGGCTCACACTGATGGAATTGTGTATCCGTTAAGAGAAACTTGTCAGGTCCTAAATGAAAAGGGGTCACTCATATCCTTGACCCTGTCTATTAAAACCATAGATTGGGTATGATAGTCCCTGCACTTGACGTCCATGATCCCTTTCTATTTTCACCATAAACTGGGTTATGACATAAATAATCTCACTCCCTGATGACCATGATCTTCCTATTAAACCATAGGTAAGTAAAAAAAATAATGCACATAGTGTCCCTGGCCTCTTCTATTATCACCAAAGATTTGGTACATCACCTTCCATCCCTCTTGGTAAGGGATTCCTCCAGCGTGATCACTCATTGATGCTCTCCTATTATTTTCGTTGCAATATCGTAAAGTTCACTCATTGATGTTATCCTATGTTCAACATTAACTTGTGAAAGATTGTCTCAACGACTATTTTTTTTAAATCAGATAGGGACCATGATCTTTAGTTTAAGGGTTACGAGAAATCTAGCTACTTTTTCTGACATGATTATCACCACACGTCAGTAGATTTCAAATTGCTTGAAATCCCCTCTTTTATATAT